CTCGCTGCAGCGGCCGCGGCCCTGGGCGGGTCCCCCGCGCCGGGCAGCGAATGCCGCTGCGGCCTCGGGGCGGCCTCGGGGCGAGCCGGCCGGCGGGGGACCCCGGGGAGGCTCCAGCGTGTGTTTGGGAGTTCGTCGTCTCCTGCCCAGACCCCGACGTCGTGGTTTTGTCGCGACGCCGACCCGAAACAGGTCTGGACCCCGTCCCCGGGGACAGGTTTATCGTCCAGGGTCGTTTTCTGACGGTCCGGGCGCCCGTGGAGGGCTCCGGGAGGCCGAAGCTGGCGAAAAGCCGCCCGTCTTGATTTTTTCACAGCGCGAGGGGGTCTTTTTTCCAGCAGCGCATCGCAGCCAAGATCGGTTGATGAATCCCCTGGTCGTCCGTATGCGTCAGATCACAAAGGACAGCGCGCCCGAACGACGCTGCGTCAGGAAAGCTGGATGGTCCGCTAGCGTGGCTGCCAGCCGTCAGGCGGATCGGAAGAAAATGTGGCATTGAAACAGGTGGAAGGGAGAGGAGGAGGAGGAGGAGGAGGAGGAGGAGGAGGAGGAGGAGGAGGAGGAGGAGGAGGCCGAGGCGGGAGGGTCTGGGTGGAGGTCAGAGGAAGAACAAATGTAAGAACATAAACTTTTGGCGGTCCGCGCGGACTTTGCTTGGATCCGCGCTGCCCCCCCCCCCGTTGGGCGCACGGGGCGGGGCCCCGCGCCGATCTCCAGGAAATTCGCGCGGAGCGCGGACAGTTAGTGTTCGTGTAGATTTGTCTCATGTTTAAAGTGGGGCACAGGGACACGCAAACAAAAAGACACAAAGCACATGAACCCCAATGTTTTCTAATATGTTGTGGGCTTTCGTCTCCCCCCATCCCATATTTTCCCAGGTGTTCCTGGGAGTCGACGACTAATTGTGTCTGAATGTTTTTGCCGCCTCCTGATTGTTTGGTGCCCTTCTGGAAGCATGAGGGCGGCTCGGGCGCAGGCGGCATGGGGCGTTTGGCAAGCTGGCCCTTCGGAGTGGGGCCCGTGAGAAGTGCTGCAAGGAACGCTGCGTGGGAAGCTAACGAGACGATCGGCGACAGCTCCGAGTTGAGGGCCCAGAGGGGAATCTCGAAAGTGGGCCTGGGCCCCCCCAGCAATGCTTTTGTTAGGACGAGCAAAAGGAAAACGCGGCGGGGGGGGGGGGGGAGAAGGGAGGAATAATGAGGGGTACAGAGGGAAGGAGGAGGGGGAGGGGACGGGGTCGGGAGGAAGGGGGAGAGAGGGAGAAGGAAGCGGGGGGGACAGACAGGAGGGATAGAAGAGCAGGGGGAGAGGGGGAGGACGTAGGGGAGGAGGAGGAGGAGATCCGCCAGCGCTCGCGGGTGATGCCTCCAACGACACTCTACACATCCGCCCATCGACTCCCGCCGTGCCGAAGACTTGGATCCAACCGCCTTCCGAGGTCGGCCCCCTCATGGCCGAGGCGAGCATGCACGCACCAGTCTCACATCTAGACAGAAGACCCGGTCTGGATCGACAAGGCCAGCGTGACGAAGGCCTCTCCTGGTACACAGAGGGGGGAGGTGGAGGATAGGATAGGATAGGACCGATCGCGAAGCGAAGTGACATGACCCAACCACCACCCAAGCCGTCTGCTCGGGTTGAATTAGGCGGAGGATCCTCCCCGAACATAGCAAGGGACGGATCACGACGCACACTCAAACTTCAATACTTGGGCCACAAGCCCTTGTGGATTCTCTCGAGATAGCTCCTCCTGGTCGGCGTGATGTGACAACGCCTCTCGGGTGGAAGCTCTGGAGACGAAAGACACTCAGAAATTAAACCACACATCTGCTGGCAACCATAAAAACCACACGCGCTGCAAAACCACAACTTTAAATCTTTATGGTATATCATCTGATGGGTGGGGTGGGTCCACCCTCCCCCTACATGGACCCTCTGGCCCTTCGGCAATCTTAAATGCTTGGCATCCTGGGGGATTAATTCCACACACGGGCTACTGCGCCAGCGGGTGAGCTCTGCCTGAGACGAGCACCCAAAACACCGCTGGCAGCTTTTTCCATTCGCGGACAGGACGTGGGCCGAGGCGAAGAAAGCAACAGCAGCCGCAGAGGGGGGGGGGCAGGCGGACTTTTTTATCAACCTTCCGCTCCGTGTCCTCCGCCTGCACTGCCTCGAGGTTGGCACGCAACAGCCTACGCCTGACAACTCGAGCTTTCCTTTCGGCCTGCAGAACTCGCGTCCGAGACGCCTGATCCACCCTCGCCTCGGCAGCTGCTACCGAGGCCAATTCATCTGCTGCTGTGTTGCCTAGCGCAACCCATTGGTGGGTTTCACGCACGGTGAGATCAGCGGCAGTGAGATGAGAGGGGGTCTGCAGGACTAAAATCTGACTGAAATCACGAGACGCTCTGAGCTTGCAGAGCCTGGTCCAGAGATCGGCATTCTCGCCAGCATGCTGGAGGTAGGCCTTCTCGTGCCAGCCTCGCATTACCGACTCATTATCGGTGACATACACAACTGTCCCAAGCGTGAGTTCTATGGTTACAATTAAAGCTAGGAGCTCCCCCCGCGGGACCTTTTGGGCCGATCCAGGGAGGGGACCCCTCAAAGAGGCCGAAACAGTACAGGGACTAAAGCTGGACATTACAGCTACGCCTATGCCAACTCTTCTCAGATGAGGGTTGCGGGAATCTGGGCCACCACTGGCGTCCCCGAAAACCAAAAGCGGGTTGAAACTGGACCCCTGACCTAGAGACCCAGGCCCGAGGGGGAGGGTAACGTCGCTACACAACCATTCCTCGATCCGTGTGGGCGGGGCTACTGCCGTCCACGACGCGGGTAGAATACCTCTGAGCCAGAAGCATGCCTCCGACTCATGCTGCACCTGCGCCTCAAAGACTAGACTCTCCGATGCTGTGAAGGCCTGAGCGTCGACGTTCTTGTCGCAGCTCCAGTTACGATGAAATGCGGTCTCGGGCGCCTTCTTACATCTGGGGCAGAGAGCGCAAGCATTCTTATCTACCTCATCGGCTATCCTCTGTCGGGGCCATGTGCCGCCAACAGCTACGCAAAGCATCATCTCAGATAATTGGCGCCCCTTTGGGCATGACTCAAGGTTACGAATATATTGACGGTACGAGCGGTTGTCCGCTCCACCTTCGAGCCCCGAGCCGCAAAAGTGTTGAGAGGCCTGTGACCAAAGACTACGTTTAATGGTGGCCTCAAACTCGTTAAGTAAATCCAGAAAATCAGTCTCGGGACCAAGATCACCCTCGAAAATAAAAGCTTCCCTGGAGAGGTCGCCCTGGGGACGGGTGCCCCATTCCGTGGCCGAAACAGGGTCCCATTGAAACTGCAGGAGGTACGCTATGACCGTAGACATGGGGCCCCTTATGTGCCTGGTCCGTTGGGCCACATCGAGGCCTGCCAAATGCGAAACCACTTTGGGCCACGCTTGCAAAACACCTGCACGAAGCCTAGAGTTAGCAAACCACGACGTGAGCCAAAGCTTAGGAGGCTGCTTCCTAGAAGCCGCCGGCCCTACCTCTGCAGACAAGGCCCGCGTCTTCAAAGAAGCAGGGGTGCTTCTAAGAAGCTTTCCCCCCTCCCCCTGCCCCCTGCGAAATGCTTTAGAAATCATGGGTTAAGACATTCGTAGTCTCAGAAATTGAATAAAAACCCAGAATATCTATTCAAATCTTAAGATTTACATTGAAACATTAAGAATAATCAAGACTCTGGCCGAAAACTTGGGTTTTCTTTAAGCATCGCCTAGAGTGTACCCCCTCTGCGCGTGGCTGGTCCTGGCTGCTCCACGGGCCTGCGGGGCCCAGCCCGAGCTCTTCCCCCCCCCCTCCTCCGACTGCGAAGTCGTGGACCGGGTGGCCCCGAGGGCGTTGAGGGCGGCTGATTTGACGACCTACCAGACCACGGCGCCAGCCGGTCCTTGACGTAGTCCTTACAGGCGGTGCTTCGTCAAGCTCTTGCTTTCGCGCTTCTTCCCCGCAGCTGCCACGCTATCCTGTATAGTCTGCGCAGTCCTGTGTGCACCCAGGAGCCCTCCGATCCCTGACCAACAAAAACCTACCAGACCACCCCAACCCAACCCGAAGACCCCAATTTCGGGTTGGGGGGAGTAAGGGTTCCACATGTGTTTTTGCCAATGTTTCCCGACCCCGCCCCACGGGAAATCGACGGTGAATTTGAGCCTTCGGGTTTGGTTGGGGTGGTTTGGTGTGTGGTGATGGTTGTGGCGATGCTGACCACACCCACTGCAGCCTCGACGTTCTGCACCGTGCTTGAGCTGGCACTGACGAAAGGGAGTTGGAAGGCGCGTTTCAAGTTAGAGTGTCTCACCACCGTACAGTGGAGGCCAGTCCACAAGAAACCCTCACAAGAAGCCCACCCCTGAGACCCCAGGGCGTCCGCTGATTTCTGGTGTGGGAACGTCACGCCTTCCACAGCAGAACCATAGAAAACCAAGAAACCCAGGGCACCCTGGAGGCAAGCAGGGTGTTTCTCGGCACGGGCCTCCACTGTAGTCGCGGCAGGCAGGCACAGCTGCGGCGGGTGAGCGTGCTGGACCTTGGCTCCGAGGAGGCCCAACATGGCCTCTGCAGCACTTCTCGGCCGGCGCCTCGACCCCGATGGCTGAGCAGCAGGCGCCTCCCGCGGCCGCAGCTGCACGCCCTCGGACCTCAGGCCGAATGCCCACGGGGGGGCGGGGGCGGCCGCGGGCGGAGCAAACCGCGAGCGCCGCCCCCTGGGCAAGGGCCCCTCACCCCCACGCGGCGCTGGGCGCGGCGACGAGATAAAGTATGTGTTAGGCAAGCAGGGGAGGAGCAGTTCTGCCCGCGGCCGTCTTATCTCTCTCAGACGGCTGCGCAAGTCTTTCAGCCCCAAGGGCTTGGCGTCTGTTCCGGCGTGGCTCTCTCTCTTTCTCTCTCTCTCTCTCTCTCTCTCTCTCTATATATATATTTATATATATATTTCTCTCTCTC